TTTCTCATTTTCTGAAAATAAATGCTATATTTTTGCTTGGAATTTCAGAGACATGTTGTCAGCAGTTCATAGAATGAAAGAACAATGTTCATTTCACTCAAATATATTCCTATAATAAGTCAAATTAGAAAAAAATTGTCATTTTGAGTGGTCTCTTGCAACATGAAAGTGATTCCAAACAAATCAGTAAACCCACCAAGACCCGGCGGACAATTAAGAATTAAGAAGTCCACAACAAGAAAGTGTTTTATTCTGATAATATATTTGTGAGCTACTTATCTGTAACTGTAGCACTTCATTTTCCAGCAATAAAAAAACATTAAGACATCTATACATGTCATCTTTGCTTACATATCCAACTCACGTTTTCCCATCTGTATTTAATAACTTACTTTGCAATACTTACTTCAATATCTGACTGTGACTTTCATAGTTAGTGCTCTGGATGACCCAGAAGCAGGACACAAGACACAGGAGGTTAAACTAAACAAAAAGTCTTTAATGAAATTTTCAAAGAACAAAAGATGCTGCAGGTGCAAGGGCGCTTGAACAAAAAGTCCATATGACAGGCAATCCAAGCATGAGTCCAGGGAGCAAATAAAAGGGAGATGAACAGGAGCGAAACACAAGAACACGACAGCCTGGATGAACAGACACACCAACAAAGGCAAATGAGAGAGATGGGACTATATATGAACAAGGGTGAACAGATGCAGATGGCAACATTTACCTCTGAGCAAACAGGAGGCAGGCAGTGGAAGGCAAACCAGATACAGGAGGTTATTAGAAACACACTTTCAAAAGAGGGGCAAGAGAGCTAATTACAAAGTCAGAGACAAGAGAACTATGACAACTTTGACAAAGCCTGGACTTGTAAAACAAAAACTTGATAAATTTGCTTAATATTTGTAAACTAAAATGATAAAAGCGACGATAGACAGCTCTCGGAAAATCTTGATGGGATACTGGTGGTCCATCAAATTTTGTAACTGTATTGTTTAATGCTTTTCTGCTCTTCGGGAGAACCGGTGCACACATCATGAACAAATCTTTTATGTTTGCCGACAGCCACGCAATGAGTTTGATGATGATTTGATCAGCTGTGAAGAACTCAAGCATCAACAAGATACAAGATTAAAGCCCGAGTAGATGAGTATCAGCGAGAATCTCGTCTACTCCTTTCTTCCTTGATAGCTGCTATGCGCGGTGCATAATAGTTCAAATGTAAATTCAAGCAAGTACTGTTTATTAACATCGTTGCACGATTGTAAATATAAGAAGCGATCGCATGTGCTGAATTACAGAAGCATTTGTTTTTTCAAGCACAGGTGTTGCAGTAGGTGGGATGCCATGTGGGAAAAACCTTCAACTGAAAATGAAACCAAACAAATTGCTCTGGGATGTTTTAGAGCAGCTCAGTATGTTAATGATTTGTCAAAAAAAAAAGTTAAAAGAAAGAGCCTTCTGCAAATAAGAAAAATATACTTTTAATATCTCCCAAAAGTATTCACCATCCTAGATTCACAGCCTTTGTTTGTTTTGTTGCCTTTTTTATGTTATTGGGATGTTATCATAAAACAACAAGTGAAGGTTTTTTTCTGTTTTTTTTTCTAATAAATTAAATTCTTGACTATGTAAAGTGCATTTGTATTTTAGCCGCCTTCTTAGGAATGAGTGTTGTAAGTTTTTTTTTTTTTCTTTTTTTTTGGTACGTTGGTACAAATGAGGACTAGAAAGACAGATGCTCCCATCTGGACATTTTCTAAAGATTCGTGATTGGACTTAGGTATTTACTTGGACTAGGCTATCCCAACACAAAATACAGCAGACTGTACCTGTGGCTGTACGTTTAAGGTAGCCGTCTTGCTGAAACTTGAACCTTCACCTCTTCCTGAAGTCAAATGCTCACCTTGCCTGTTAATTCAATAACTGCATGACTTGGGTAGGATTGCAACAATGGCCTATACAGGCTATGACTATGCAGTCATAGCCTGTATAGTTTTATGAGATTATGGATTTTATTTAGGGGTGACACATATTTGTGACTTAAATGTGTCAAATTAGAGGACTGAATACTTTTGCGGCCAGTGTCTGTTTGGAAATAGTTGGACTTAGCTTGAATGTTCCCAGTTCTATGCAGTTTCAATGGCTGCCAGAAGAAATGTTGATGTTTTTGCAATGGAATGAGGTCTACAGCGCTGGTTTTGCTCTTTTCTCCACATTTAGCCAGTCCAGCATAAGGACAAGGACGGAGATGGAGGGGAACACGTTTTTTTTTTTTTTTTTAGATGTATCAACAGTCGAACAGCTTTCCCTCCAGGTCACCCAGCGAGCTGTGAAATGACATGTTGATCCCATGAATACGTGTGTGTAAGTGTGTCTGTGCGCGTGTGTGTGTGCAACCAAGGGACAAGAGAGGTAGGAATTCCTTTATCAGGTTGACCAAAGAACATTATTTATTTTTATTTTTTTTACGCTACCCATCATGGTGAAAGTGGCCCTTCAGTGGAAGTCAAACTTAGTGAAAGTGTGTGAGGAACATTTAAGGTAAAAAAAATAAATTTCAAATACCATAAATCAGAATTGTGGAGGAGAAAATGACTGCTGAATGAAGGGAAGAAGAACTTAGTGCTGTCCCTTGCTTTAAGCCAAATTAGCATGCGCAGTAGATCTCTTTTATGGCTCTGGCGCTGTCTATGGTGCTGAAAAGTCGTGATTACACAAGAGGTAATGTTCTAGCTGGACGCCAGGAAGAAAGTGGAAATAAATCTCCAGGCAAAACTGAGATTTCAGCAAACTATTAGTTTTGTGTTCACCAGATTGGCAGGAACATCTTGGTGGGAGCCCTGAAGGTGCTTGAAAGTGGCCCATTACTAAGGAAAACATGTTGAGCTCCTTTATAGAAAAGCAAAGATGAAAGTCCATTCATGTTTTTACACTGTAAAAAAAAAAAAAGTAAATTCCGGTTGTGTTGAAAAAACTTTAGACAACTTACTGAGTTTAAAGATTGAAAGTACAAACTTATATTTTACTGCAGTAGCATTGATTCACACTGACATTCAGAAAGAAACTGAAACTCAATCTAAGGACTGGTGTCTTAATTATTGCTACCTGCACTCCCCCTTTGCCAATAAGGCATCGCTCAGGCTCCTATAACATTTTACAAGTTTAGATCTGTGTAGGAAGAGGGATCTTTGATTATTCGTCCTTCAACAAGCTCTACAGATTGTCCAGAGATCAGGTTTTCCAAATGCCACTGGTGGTTTTTCAGCTCAGGTTTTGGGTACCTGATTCAATTAAAACACAACCAAAAATGAGTGGCGCTAATAAGTACTAACAGCCAAAAAAGATTAGTTGCTCTCGGTCACCAAGTTTTGGTCCAAGCAGAATGTTGCCAAAACAAACGTTCTCTGCAGAGTATTGAAGGAATAATGTTACTGAAACAGAAACATGTGCTGAAGGCTGCTTTCCAATTCAGAGCTTAAATCTGTGAATCACACCTCAAGTGTTATGCCACACTCGCATATCCGGCATTATATAATTAATTTTACTCAAGTCACCCAGATTGTTATTTCCAGTTACTATTTGCAGTCTTGATTCTTTATTATTATGAGGGACACATCTTGTATTTTCTACTGAAAAGACATTGATTTTTTCCCTTCTGTTTTTAATGGATTCTGAACATTTAAAAATGATTTTGTACCTATAATTTTAAGAGCGACAATCATAATTTGCATTGCTTGAGTGATTACAAGTTTGACATTTTGAATCACTTTCAAAACTGATTTGTTTAAAATTATAATTCATGTGCTTAGGGTATATTTTCAAATGATCATCCTGTTTAATATTCTGTGTCAGAATATCTAATATCAGGGTTTGTCTCCAAGGGCGAAACATTACGTCTTCCGACACTCCATCCTGAATGTCTGATGATATCAGAGGTGGCAGAAAGTCACTGTTTTTGCAGGTCACAGGTAATTGCTGTCAAATCCTTCAAGTTCAGAGTCAAGACACGTAAGTGCCAAATCGAGTAGTAAGTGATAAAGATGTCCATGTTTGGAGCAGAGTCCACATCCTAAACTATGAAACATGAAATTCAAGTCTTACCGTAATCCTATGAAGCGTATTTTAAAATAAAGATGTGGTTGTTATTGTTGCAGTAGGAGTTCGTCCATCAAGTTTTGGGCTTGAGAATACAGGAAATGTCGCCAGCCGCTGCTACTGTCAGAGCGAGGCGGGATAGGGGCGGAACGGAGGGTATTTGACTAGACCACCGTAAACGCGATGAGAGAGAAACACGTGAGAGCGAGGGGGGCAATACTGAATATTCACGAGAAAATACTAATACGTTAGCACGACAGGAGAGGGAGGTAAAAACACGGTGGTTTCCTGGAAGAAATGGGAGACTTGACAGTTATGAGCCTCGAAGGAAAGAAGAAAAGCCAACAAAAAAAGAAAAAAGAAAAGAAAAGAAAAACGTTTTGCATTGATAATAAGAAACTACTTAACACTCCAAGGTAGCAGCTCTGCTGCCTTGCAGCAAGAACGTCCTGGGTTCGAATCCTGGCCCGGGGTCTTCCTGCGTGGAGTTGAATGTTCTCCCTGCGCATGCGTGAGTTCTTTCCGGTTTCACTTGTCCCTGTTTCCTCGCGCGGTCCAAAAACATTTCAGTGAATCTAAACATGTCTTAGGTGTGAGGGGCTATGCGTATATGTTGTACGGCCTGGGTGTCTCTGTGATGTCCCGGGCGTGTCCTGAATTGTGCCCCTATAAAAAGACATGTTCCACGTTCCAAACTTCATATTAAGTAGTACAATATGATTCACAGACTAATCTAATGCGAGCAGCCGAAATATATCCGGCTGCTCGCATTAGATTGACACTGGGAAACCTGAAAAAGTCGGAAGATGTTACTCAACGAATTTTCATTAAAATTCAGCAAGAGGCAAGCTGCGTGAGAGGTTAGGTTATTGGCGGGCAGGCGCATGGACACACACACACAGGCACACGCACACAACCGCTCTCGCTCACACACGCACACGCACACACACACACACATCCATACACACAAACTTCACAGCTGGTGTGCCTTCCTCCAGCAGAGACTGACAGAAGCAGGGCGACCGCTTTAAGCTGCGAGCGCTCATCTCTCCTCTCCGCCACCGGCGCGTCTTTCCCCGCTCTTATGAAAAACTTTGAAGGGCTGAGGGGCGAAATGTACACGAAAATCGTTTAGGGAAAAAAGATAAAGAAAGATCAAGTCCGAGAAGAGCGGTGGAGCCGGGAGAAAGAGGGAGCTATGCCATCTCCCGCCGAGCGGAGCCCAGTCCTCCTCAGTTGCGTGTCGGATCTACAGCATGGTGCCTCTTTCTGGACTCTGGAGCCGCTGCCTCGCCCCGGGGAGAGCCCGTCACCTTTTCATCTCTGTCAGAGTGCTCCCGCTGCTGCTTCTGCTCCTGCTGACTCCCTTCTCCTCTGCCGAGACCTGCTTCCCTCACCCGGCGCCCTGTCACATCTTGGCACGGATCGGACACAGCGTGCGCCTCGGTGCGCTCCTGCCGACCCGCCAGCCGGCGCGGATACAGAACGCGCTCAACCGCGCCCTGGCGAGTATCCGGCACCAGAGCGGCGGGACGGACTCCACCACCGCTTCCGCACAGCCGGCCCCTCTGCTGCCCTACAACCTGACCCTGGAGATGGTGGTGCGGTCGCCGGCGGGGTGGGACCCGGAGTCGTTGTCCCACAGCGCCTGTCAGGACCTTGTGATCAGAGGCGTGACAGCCGTGCTCGCCTTTCCACACTCCAGGGAGGAGCTGATCCAGGTGGAGTTCCTCTCCTCTTTCTTGGAGATTCCTTTCGTGTCCATCCTGGAGGACACGGAACCCCTTGTGACTAAGGTAAGATCAACCCTAGCCAGCGGCATATTGTAAATATCGTGGTAATTGTGCTTCGTTTGCGCCTAAAAACAAGCAACAACCCATGCCTACACATTTTTATTCCCACTCCCCTCACCACCACCACCATTAAACTTGTGGCTTATAAGTGGGTTGACACTCAGCAGAGAATCTGCCTGATCCTGTAGCTTGTGGCAGGGATTTTGAGTTTAAGCTGCTGCAAAAACCAGCCAGATATTCAGGGTTATAGCGTCGAGCAAATGAACAGTTTAAGGGAAAGTAATTGTAACAGGGATAATGAGGGTAATTATCCCTGCACCTAATCTAAGGAATGATTAAAACAATTGTGTTAGGGAACCCAAAAAAACAATCAAAAATGCTGCAGAGTTAATTGCAACAGTAGACAGCAGTCTTCAGACTCCAATCTCTGTCGTTATATTCCTTGTTCTAGAAAACTCTGATGCTCAGATTGATTTTGGTTGAGCAGCTTGGTGGACCTGGAGGCCCACATCATGTTTAATATCGGATCGAGCAGAATTTGTAAAGACAGAACCCTCAAGGCAAGTACATGATGACCCTCCCCCCCCATTCATGCGCCCCCCCGCCAACTCCTTAAGCCTTATTCTTTATTTTTGTGAAAGCGCAAACACAGAAATGGTGAGAACAGTTATTTGTGCTTGTCTGAAAATGTTTCATTTTCCTTAAAGCACCTTTCAGAATGAATTCAACCAGTTGTGATGGTGATAGATAAATAGCCGTTTTGGACTGGTGTTGCTCCTGCACTGTGCGTGATCAAATATTTCTACTTTATTTATATGCATGTGTGGCTCTTGTTCTTGTCTTTTTGGAAAGACAGAAAGAAAGAAAAAGAAAAGTGGCTGGGCAATAAATGTGTTGTTTCAGTACTCCTAACAGCAAATAGAGCTGCTTGCCTGTTAACGTTTCCAGTGATTTCCATCTCATTCCCAAGCAAGCAGCCAGCATCATCTATCACATACATATTTGACTTTGTGCAATAAAGACAAAACGCATGAAAGATATACATATATAAAACCTCACACAGGTGTCAGAATCTGAATTGAAGAGCCAGAAGAAGTGACCTTTTTGACTTTGACGCAGCAAGAGTGAAAAAACAAAAGAGATGCTCTGATCAGATGAAACCATATTTGAACTTTTTTTTTGGCATCAAGAAAAACACAATGCGTGGTTTTAGCCATTCTAAAACATGGTAGCGGTTGCATCATGCATATTTTATTTAAAGTTTTTCTTTAGGGCAGAGTAGCTGCTTAGTGAAGATTGACATGAACGGATGTAGATACAAGGAAAGCTGCAAAAGACTTGAAACCTGGGGTGACGGTTTGTTAGTATTCATTAGAGCAGTAAGAGCGAGTCGCCTGCCAGCGTTTCCAGTGGTATCCGCCTCGATCCGGCCAAGCAGCCAGCTGCATCTCGTCTCCACACCTATTTGTTTGTGTGCGCGCTATTCGGCAAGCTCAATCACCCAAAGCCAATGTATGCATGTATGTGTGGAAGGGGAACTTCCAACTTTCGCAGAAGTCTGTTTAAGAGAAGGGGCACCTTCACTAAAAGGTCATGCTGACACAAAAAAGTTAGAAGGATGGGGAAGAAGAAGAAGAAAAAATGGTGCATAATCCACAGTTTTGAAAGTCTTCTCTGAGTCATGCATTCTTGTCAACAATGTTATGGTTACTTAATCTCAATTGAGCCAACATCGGTGAGAAGCCAAACCACTTGATGAATGGCTTGAAAATGCAAAGAGATAAGCGAGCGAGAGGAGGAGAGAGCAGATATGAGGACAGTTTTTTTTTTTTTTTTCTTGAGCTGTGGGAGGCTGGAAGAGCAGAGTTGTGCCAAGCAGGCAGGCTGTTGAAATAATAATAATAGAAAAAAAAAACTCCTGTGTCCTGATGGCTCAACTTTCAATATTTTTAGCCATTATTTCAAGCATTGTGTTGAAATCGATCATTGTTCCTTTTTCATGCTTAAGAGAAAAGTCTTTTAGTTTTTCATTAAATACAACCATCCCTTTCTCATTTGAAGTCTGGAGTTTATTAGCTTATTGCAGGATTTCAGTTTAGCTTTTGTTGACTTAAATACAATGTTTTTGTAAGGTGCTACAAAAGCAGGTGGTTGGTGTAAAATAAATGTTGATGAATGTGTTACTTTCAAAATATCCAGTGGTATGCGTTTGCGGCGACATAAAAAAAACACAAAAAACACTCCACTGAAGTAAATGACAGTAGATTTCCCCAATGTAAACCCCTATTAGGGAAAAAAACAATTACGGTTTTACTTTATTGTTATTAAGCCAAAGACTACATACCATTTCATAGCACAATCAAAGGTGCTGTACATATAAAACATCACCTAAAAGAAATTTGTCTTTACCTTTTGACACCTTGAAAATTGTCCTCTGTCTCTTTAAGAAGCTCCTGTTCTTCCTGACACCTCAGCCTCAGCACATCATTGCTTGTGAGCAAGCATTTCTGCAACATGAATGGCTGCCATACAAAGATTTTGTAAACATGCATAAAAGACTCAAAGAAACACCTCTGATATGTTTTTGATGCGTATATCACATCATATCATATTGATGTTGAATAAGTCGATTTTACATAATTCCCCAAACAATTGTAGTTCCCTTCAAATTCCCTTCGAAAACAATGACATGTAGAGCATATTTAGATTCCACACATTTAGCAACAGAATTATTCTAAGAAAACTAAATTGATCTTTCCAAAAAATAATATTTTTTTTATTACTCTGGGTTCTAAACAGCTAAATATTTTTGCAGCTTCTTGGTTACCAGAAAAAAAATTAAAATATGCATGGGCATAAACGGCAGAATAGTTTAATCCAACCGCCAAAATATATTATGAGCAAGGAAAGTTTGAATCCATCACACCTGCTATATTAAAGCACCCCGAAGTTTATTGTTATCTAGATAAATCCCTATGCTCATAACAGCAATTTGTTTTCCCAGTAACGATAAACAATTGGATAATTTCCTAACCTGAATAAACTGGATGCATGGTTGGACTAATTTGTAGGATTGGGCTTTTTGTAAATCTGTCCGCATAGCAATAATTTTTGTCAGATGTAGCAGATGATGCAACAGTTCTTCAGGAAACATAGTCAGGTCTTAAAAATTATTTTAATTAAATGTGTTGACCACACTGTATTGTTTTTTTTTTCTTTTTACAACAGAAACAAATAATTGTTGGAGATTTGCCATAACAACATGCAATCATTCCAGTCTGCTCTGTCTCATCCACATATGCGTTTCTTTGGCCAAATTGTTCTAAAATCTATTTAGTGAACACTAGCAAGCTGTACACAATACAAACACTTTTAAAGAAGGAATTTGATCAAAAATGGGAAAATAAATGGTCAAAAGAGCTGTGATCTGTTGTCCCATGCCTTTTGTGATGTCACCAGAGTCGTGCAAACTTATTTGTTGAGAGGCTAGAGTTACATTTAAAGGAACAAAACGGCAACAGAAATAGAAAAGCTAATCGAAACACATTGTTCTATCGGTGACAAACTAGATCCAAATAGAGTTAAGTTTTTTCCTCATCAAAGTTTGGTTTCATTTTATATCTGTTTTGTAGCTTAAAGTTTAAAAAGAAAATCGGTGGGTCTAGTCGCACTTTCCAAACGTGTCCGTGTTGTTTGGGGATATTCACATAATTTAGGGAAATTACAACGAGTCGTTGTTTTGGGACCTTAAACAATATGAACTGCAGCAGGACGGTTCAGAGCACCTCTACAGAAAGGGAGCAATGGGTTCTGAGCAAACAGAGGAAGCAAGGAGGTGGGGAAGGTCCTCAGACACACAAGCGCGCAAAGGGCAGTGATAAGTGGGTTAGGTCAACAGGGAGGCATATTGTTAGCCTGTACAAACAGGGTGCAGCACACTGGTTTCGCAGTGAAGCAGGAGGTACGATTTTAATTAAAAATGCAATTTACATTGTAGCATCAGCGGACAGGAGTGCTCCCCAGAGAGGAGGGCTGGAGAAAACAGAGGCAAAACAAATGGTTCTGCCAGAGAATGTGCTGGATCTGTCACCAATTGATCCAAATGAGGAGGTGTTTTTGTGTTTGTTTATGAAAACAAAATCTATCCCCCTGGGTTTTAACAATTAGGGAGTTTTATGTGACAATGAGAAGAAAAGAGAGAGAGGGGGGATGATGGGGGAGGAAGAAAAATTGGATATTTGGACATGGTGCTCCCTGAATGTATCCAAATAGAAGTATTCAATTGTCATTCAGTGTATCCTGTAAGAAATTTGTTGAAACAAATTAGTTTTTGTTCATTTCATTACATGTTTTTTTTCTGTTTGATTAGAAAAAAAAAACAGTTTTCTACTCCTTTCACCTCAACAAACGTAAAAGCATTTGATTTTCATGCATATTACATAATCGTGAAGTTGCATAGTTTTCAATCTTTTTCACATGTTGCAAAACTGAAAAATGTCAGTCATTTGTGCCCTTCAGTCAGTACTTGAGGAATAAGAACAAGTTTCTCTGTAATATAACAGGATCATTTGGATCAGTCTTAGTTCCTCTTTGCAGAAAATCTCAACATCAGTTAACTGGAGTTAAAAGCAGAATTGTAGGATCTGCATTTGAACATCAAATTGTTTAAAATATGACAACGTATTTATTTTTTAAATGTGAAGAATTATATAAAAGAATAAACACAAAATCAACAGTGTAATATGCTTATACTGTGGCCTTTGTTTGAAGGTATTGTAACAGGAAAGAGGGTAATGAGAAAGGGGGAAGACATGTGGCAAATGTTGCCAGGCCAGGAATCGAACCTGCAACCACCGGCACGAGGACTAAGGCCTCAATATGTGGGTATCTGCGCCACCACAGCATCCCTGCTCACATTTCATTGCAGCCATTGAAATGTAATCCATTGTAGCTCACTCTGCTTTTGAATTCAGGGTAATCGAACCGATTTGTTGCGTTACCAA